ATCAATATCACTTGTCTTGCGAGAGATTGTGTCAATGCTCGTTTTAAGTTGATCTTTGAGGAGGCTGATCAGTGAGTCTTTATCCTTCATCTGATATACTAAGACCCTGATATCACTGCGTAGTTTTAGTTCAGTGGTATGGAGTCTTTATATTTCTCCAGTAGCAGTTATCAGCTCTTTATTTTGCTCCTCCAATGATCGGCTAATGGCTTTGATGTTTAAGTCAAATTTCTCACACAGATGCTTAATTTTGCGATCAACGGACTGAGAATGTTCCATTAAACAATCATGCATTTCTAAAACTTTGGCAAACATGAGTGATGTGCATAGTCTTCTGTGATTGTTTTTCTTGTTGGCTAGAAGGAGAATCAATGACAGTGTCCTCAGGGTTTCGGATCTTTTGCTTATTCAAAACCTCCTTCTGGAGGACGTCAGGGTGGACAGATCCTGTTATAAATCCGTATAGATAAGTCGAGTATGCTGTATACATGTTATATATTTTCAACAGTAAAGACAAGAAATACTAATAGGGCAAGATTGACCAAAATGTGACTGAAGACAGTTAAATGGATTAAAAGAAGACATAATTGTTGTTTTTTTCAAATGTTAAGGGCTTACACAGTTTCGGGTCAATACTCAAAATGTCAGTCAATACCTGGTGTGACCACCATTAGCATTGATCACTGCCACACATCTCCTGTACATTGAGTGGATCAGACGATTTGTGAAGGCCCTAGGGATCCTCCTGCACTCATCCAGAGCAGCTGTGCGTAGTTCATCGGCAGTTGTAGGGAATGGGTGCACATTGTGCAGACGCCTTTGAACCTCATCCCACGAGTGTTCGATGGGGTTCAGATCAGGGCTGAGGGCTGGCAACGGTAGAACACGGATGTTGTGTTGTTGCAGAAAGGCCATGGTAGCTCTTGCAACATGGGGACGAGCGTTGTCCTGCTGGAAAATGTGTTGTTGATGTTGTGCAAAAAATGAAACAACGTGGGGTCTGATCACTTGGTCGATATACCGCTGTGCAGTGACGCCGTGTCCCCGACCTTGACCAACATTCAGAAAGCACATGAGTCCAAGTCTCGCATTAAGTCCATTCCCTGCCCATATCATGACGCTAGGTCCACCCCATGGATCCCTTTCCACAACGTTTCTGTCAGCGAAACGATCACCTCGACGCCGCCAAATTCTGACTCTTCCGTCTGCATGGGAGACACCAAAGCGACTTTCATCAGAGAAGATGACACGCCTCCACTCACGATACGCCAATTGAGATGACCCTGTGCCCACTGAAGTCGTGCTTGTCGATGTCGTTGTTGGAGAACAGGACGACGTGCTGGTCGGCGACATCTGAGGTTGTTGGAACGGAGACGTCGGATCACAGTGTCCCGGCTAATGTGTCGATTATGTGTTCCTATGGTCTGTCGAGCACTTTCGCTTGCAGTTAGGAACGGATGTCGCTGGTGTTGACGGGTAATCTGCCGATCTTGTCGAGGTGTGGTGACCCTAGGACGACCGATCCGAGGAAGGTCATCTGTGGTCTGTGTAGCATTGTATCGATGCGATGCAGGAGACGTTAAATTGTGGTTATGTTAACGTTGAAATGACGGGCAACATCTTGGACAGACTCTCCAGCTTCAAACGTCCGATAGCCTGGTTTCTCTGAATTTGAGGAGCAGATGTGCAGCGGCCAGAAAATGGAAGTACCAGTAACCAGAAGTTTCTGGTCGCTGCACATGGCCAACACGTACGCCAGTTGATATTCTCACGATCTTACAAAACTGAGAAAGACATGTTTTATTGACTGCACTGTATTTTTAAACTCCCGGACGTTTCCGGACGCTCCCGGGCGTCCTTGGGCGTTAAATAGTAGGACCCACGAACACGGGTTATAATATCCCGAAACGATATATATATTTTAAAATATTTGATTGTTACAGAGACACGTGACATCGAATAAGTTTCTTTGTACAGCTGCAGACGTGTGGGATATTGTTCATTTGTGTGGATATTCACGGATACATTCCTCGAACAAGGAAGCTGCCTAAAGTTATACACATAAAATTGGTAGGATGTAATTATGATATTTCATTTTGTTTTCCTTCATTTGCTGTAGCATTGGACAGATTCATTCCTGTTCCTCTACGTCTTGGTTGGGAAATTCTTCGATGCGCGATAGACGTTGTTTTCACAAGTCTTTTCCTTTGCAAGCGTGTATATGTTACAGTCAATTTGTAAAATGTGATTCTCTCAGGCAATTTATAAAATGTGTAAATATTTCAGTCATTTTGACTGAAAAATCTGTCCATTTCTTTAACAGATTGACTAAAACTGATTAAGACGATCAAAAGGGCCTATAAACATCACAACAGATTATTATGTAGGATTAGAAGCCAAACAATATAGAAATGTTCTTTTCATCGTAACATTTTCAGTCTCTTGGTGATGATATTACACATAAAAATGTTTGGAATTCGTTATCATAATAATACAGATGGACATATTTTCAATTTGTAAAATAACTGAATATTCAGGCTTTTAATAGATTTCCTAAGTGAAAAATTTGCACATTTTGACTATTAAAAATATAAACACGATAAAATAAGCAATGCTCAGGAGAAATATTTATTTTGTGTTGCAAGTCAAAATAGTGTAAACGAAAATCGCACAATTACCAAACAAGTGACTTATCAAAAGTTCGTCACCATTACCATGCTACCCACAAAGATACCTACATTTCCTTATTATTTCCAAAACTGTATTTCATTTTGTTGATAGATGTGACCATATGCCCTTATACTATCAATAAAAGTGACAAATGCGCTTACGAATGGCGCAGCACAGGTCGCGAACTAGTCTAGGTTTCTGCTTTATCACCCGGGTACTCACGGGGAAAAACAAAAACAAAGGCAACAACCAGTCCCGGGGAATTGCTTTTAGATCAGTGCCCCTTTAAGAAGCACATATCTTGAAGCTTTCGGTGTGTAAAGGGTGAAATATATGTTCATAGAATTACTGAAGAATTGTTATCTATTAAAAGTGAAATAATATAACAGTTTTGCCTCGCACCTTTTGTGTTCTTGAAACACGGTAAAAGTCGCAATCAAGCAAGTCACGAAATCAGAACACCAAATCCAATTACTCGCCTCAATGTTCGAGCATTAAGCCTCGGACCTTGGCTAAAACCAACGGGCAGTACATTTATGTCACAGTTTCTTTTAAGTAGAATAATGGATATATTATTAATTATGTGTTGTATGTTTTAGTTCGGCATGCATTGTGATAAACACTATTTAAAGACTATGTTCCACTGTGTACGACGCAGTGGGAAGGAGGGTTATTTCTAGGGGGTAGTGAGAGAGCGAGAGAGCGTCCGAAGACAGTTAAGGGACAGACAACGTCCAATTAATTACAAATCTCGTAATAACATAGGTATGCCTTTTCGGAGTCAGTGCATGTTGTTTAGACAATATACATAGATACTATATGTCGTTGTGCACATATCTGGACAGTATTAAGACGTCATTACACTAATTACCTGGAACGTGTCATGTGCAAATACACACGCAATGTATCCTGACAATGTCAACATATGCAACACCGCAACGATGAAAGGAACACTGCTACATGACTGCTAGCGACAGTTTGTTGGTTTGTTGTTTAACGCCGCACTCAGCAATATTCCAGCTATATAAAGGCGGACTGTAAATAAATATAGTCTGGACCAGACAACCCAGTGATTGGCATCATGAGCATCGATCTGAGACACAATGACATGCATCAACCCCGAAAATGGGGCCTGACCAACCGATCCCGTTAGTCGCCTCTTGCGACAAGCACAGTCGCCTCTTCCGGCAAGCATGGGTTGTTGAAGACCTATTCTACCCCAGATATTAAGGGTCGCTCGCGACAGTAAACAAGTACATGGAAGGTAGATCAATGTACATTATAAACAATATGTCCATTGCCATCAATCATGTTGTCCATTTCAAGCAAGAATATGCTTGCTCCACTACTTTTAGAAACTATTTCTCCTTTACGCACTCAGTCATCACGGACAGACAAGAGCGCGTTTAGAACAGCGCGTTACTCACTTCCGTGAGATCGGGTTACACTTTCCATGTAAAGCTGGTTGGTGTCGGGTGCAACAATTCCATGCCGCCTGAGTAAGAGCAAATGCTCTGCCAACTTCAAACACGTTGTGCTGTTAACCCGTATCGGCGGTGCCCTGCAGATACTGACCACGAGATACACCTCACACACGATGCGTGTAAAACGTGTAAGAAAAGACCGGAAAATGAATGATAAATTGATGAGATGTCTTTTTATACACAACAATTATGGCTGTTAAAACGTAGAGCGAATATCTGAAAGGTACAAGGACATATATATCCTAAATACATCAGTCCGTCTTGGTAGTGGTTTACATGAATGTCGATGTGCTATCGTGATAGCAATACAAGGTATTCGCCATTAGGATATAAAATAAACCATCGTTTTCGTCGTGTGATTCATTTAAAACATCTACATATTTCAAAAGTGGTTTACAAAGGGAGTTAAGCGCAGTAAATGTAAATCGAACACGGAAGCGATGTTACGATATGTGTCGAGCTGAGACTCCAACATGCGCGTGTGTGTGTCTGCGTGTGTGGGCGCTCGCATGCGTTTCATTGAAACTTTAAAAAAGGAAATTGGAAGATGTGAAATTGATTACAAACGAAATGGGATAGGGACACAGTATGTCACAATGATATATGTTACACGTGATAACGCTTGACCAGACACAGCACAGGTGGACTCAGTGACAACACAGCTGCAAATTAGTTCCTAATCTAATCACCCCGAAAACTCTGGGCATACCAAACGTGCTGAGTAAGATTTCTATCGTACATCTAAGACTATGTGAAAGCGCACTACAACACATTCAGCCAATGTTTAGGGCGTGTGCAAAGTGACCATTCCGTCCCTATATGTCCACCGGCAGTAGGGAACTTAAAGAGAGGTGTGCAAAACTACATGAATATACACAGTTAAGTTCGTATCGTGTGCAAAATAAGCACATAGGCAAATTTCCACCACTATCTGCAACGGTTTGGTGCAGTTCACACCTGAAATCAGGCAGGTTTCCTTTAGTCGTCGTTTCAAGAAAAGGTAAGGCACCTCACCTCCAATTTGTATTATTGTCAGGACCTTTGCTTATAATGGTTATGTAATAATATTTGTATGATTTTAGTGGTTTCTTCCTGATATGTAGTTTGGTGATTTGTCCTTGTGCAAACTCATCATAGTATAAATATATCTACTATGCAAGCTGTCATTTTGATAAAGTCATAACAGTTTGTTCAATTCCGCCTGTGCAATACACGTATAATCAGGTGCCTAACACAAATGTCAACAGTATCTTAAATCTAAAGACACAAATTAAATATAAAGTTGAGAATGATACCCCTATATACTGTATATTATATATTATCATTATATTTTAAAATTATTACTTATGCAGTGCTATATGTTTATGAATAGTGTTACCAACCACAGAATAAAATGAAACAGTCTGCATATACAAATAATTAATTTCGATTTTCAACACAATTCCAAGGTTCATATACTTGTAAGTATATGTTTTGCAAAGTCTTCATTACCTGATAAAAACGGGTTAATTTGAATAATCACGTCTCTATAATATTAAGAACTCAAAAACGGGGTTGAAAAGAACGCCTAACCACAACACGGCCGGGTAAACAAAGGGTATATCGGAACAAGGAACTACCTCATACAGGAAGTGCGGCTTGACCGTCTTGTCAGCTGGGGAAATGTACATAACAGGTCGCGTATCCACTGGCATTTCTGGAAGCGGCACAGGAATTGGTAATATCGCGTGCAACACGAGACAGGAAGACGAATACCTTGTCTATTTCAGGCTCGAGAGAAACACCTTGTGATGCCAAGGTCGAGCAGTCTTCGCCCGCTGTGCTCAATAATACTGCCGTAAGACTCAAAATATAACCCAACTGATATAAAATATAGGAAGTACGTGCCACAGAAAAAACACTTGTGTTACTGTTAGAACTGATAACACGTGTTTATATTGTGTGATCTATGCGCTAAGAATAGTTGATACGGTTTATTGATGAGATATGGGAATCTCAGCTCGTTTGAGTAACAAAATACACTATCACTTGAAACATTAGAGTTATATATTTTTCTGTGTCCATCTGAACAAAGTTTGTGAAAAAAGGTTACTGTCGGAATGAATGGCGACCGCATGTAATGCCCCCAACCCACTCCCCCTCCTATTGGAGCCGGGGGCACGGATGGCCCAATCGTCTAAGGCGCCGCGATTCGCTGTGCAGAGTTGCGTCCTTTGGGCACGCCAGAAACCTATGTTTGTGGGTTCGAATCCCGGTTCGCCCCGATTATGTTTTGTCAGCACCATACCCGTGTTCGTGGGTTTCACCGAAGTGGTAAACGTCTGAGACCTGCATCACTTCGGGCTTTCCTCCCACATTAAGCTTACACGCCGCGATATAACTGGAATACTGTTAAAAGCGGTGTTAAACCCAACTCACTCACTCACTCCTATTTGGGCCTTGACACCCTACATCCTGTATCCTCACTGTGTTTCTCCTGAGACTGAATATCAGTACACGTCGCCGCTCTCTGTATCCAGAGAATGCTTGTGCACAGTCCTGTCGGATATATCTGTACGTCACCTGGAGGCATCAGCTTGATGTTCTATTGGGTGTCTCACACACAGACACCACTCAGTGTGCGAGCTTAGCCTCAATTTTGTAAATGATATCTTTTCCCGTAAAAACCAAGCCTCCTTCTCAAGTGCGACCTACAAACAGTAAATACAATTTGCTAGCAGATGACATATTCACTCTATAGTCTCTGTCAACTGGAGTTTTTAAACAGAGGTTTCCACTGAAACAACTTTTTTTGTACTTTTATAAGCTTTCCATGTTACAAAATTTATTCACTGGATATTAATGCTTTTCACCTGGATAATAAGGTTTATTCATTTCATGATGAGGATCATCTTTTTTAAAATTGTCCCAACTGTATGTATACCTGACAAGGACGACATGGGCTACCATTATGATACGATGTCTTACATTTTTCTCAGGAGGAATACCATTATTTATTCTTTTGTTTCTATTTTTTCTGACTTGTTGGATGGCATAAATGCACATATATTCACAAGATGCAAAATTCTACTAGCGTTTAAACTTCTATATAATATTAATGCATACACAAGCCTTATTGGTATAAATGTACTCTTGATATTTTCCACTTGAAAATTCATTAGTTATAGAGGTGCCAGAATTCCAATATGTTCATACCTTTCTTGACAAATCTCCAGTGGTGTCACTTGGAAGTTGCATCATGATAAATAGTTAGTAAGAGACTGGTATTCCAAGTGAGTTCCAAGAAAATAACAGTTGTAACACATGATTTAGCCATGACTGAGCATAAAAATGCAATAGCCAAGGTGTATTCCCAAAGTAATCGTCCACCACAACAGTAAAAGTAGTATACTGCTACAGCAGACGATAGGTTTGAGCCAATCATTTTACTGATAGAGGTCACATGACTAAAATCTTGACTACTTCCGGTGCTGTGAAGGGTTACTTTCCCTAATTAAAACTAACAAACCAATACATATTTGAGATTTAAGTTCTAATTTATTTAAGCGCAAATGTCTGTTCAGTGTGATAACACTGACAAACTATGTCCAGACAGCTTAAGACAGAAAGAACCAAATGTCAAACACCACGACCTGTAAACCATCAGTTTAGACCCCTGACACACAAATTAGTCCCTCAATGACATATCAGTCAACTCAAATTTAAACAAACGGTGTTAAACTGCCCTAAAGTAACATATCTGTCACTAGAATGTGATGCTATCACTAAGGTGCCAGATTTATTTATGTTTCTGGCCGCTCTGTGTGGGACTTCTTGGTCACTTCGAGGGGGAAACTGGGGACTGTCTTTTATCCAATTAAAAACATGTTTACAGTTGTAGCTCCTCCTATTTTAAATTGGATATAGTAAGCTTAGTGAACAGTGATTGCAGGAAACATAGGAATTGGCCCCTCCTCCCTTTAAGATAGATGGAACCCATATTTTTGTGAATGACTTCTACCCTGTGAGAGAATATTTTGAGATCACGTGACTCCAATAAACATGTTCTCACAGCCTCTACTGTGCATGGATGGGTTATATTTAGGTATTATTTTGATAAATTGACATATGTGGAAATGGGAAATATATGAAAACATTACATGTACATATAGGATTTGTAAAAAAAAGGTTTATATTAGGTAGGTGTAGAGCCCAGGATTTTTCACTTCCTGTGACAGGGGCTGTGACGTCACTATGGGGCCTTTAGCATTGAATCTATTTATAACCTGGGTGAAAGCGAGGCTTGGTTTTCATCTATAAGCGGTAACATAGGCTGAGCTCGCACACTGACTGTGCATGGCAGAAAGATGGGAATATACAACGGGAAACGGAACTGCAAGGTCACAGTGCCCTCACACGTCCGTGGTTTCACAAGTCTATTTCGAAATCTCGAAGTGATGAGTCGTCAATTTCTCTTTCATGAGAAACGCGTGCCATCATTCCCCAGCCCCAACTATTCAGTAAAGAACAAGTATCAGTTTCAAACGATTCACACTAATGACGTATGTGGCAAGTCTGCTGTATCAATTACCACATGAATACATAGTGAATTTCTGGCTTTCTGTTACCCCCAACGTAATATACGCCAGCTGCTGGAGTGATGTTGTTTACACTATCAGTGAGTTCCCCAACGTTGGTGAAGCATTTGGATTAGTGACAAAGACCGTTTCCTTTTTCAGAGGAGAGATAGTCGGTTCCGAGTGCATCGGGGATTGACTGGGCGTTACGCCGGAAGAAACGGAGAGATTAGGTATAGGGGTGAATTAGTGGATTGGCTGTAACGCCATAGTCACAGATGGATCTCCTGAAAACCACATATGCCTTTTCTTTTTGGGGAGTATAAATTTCATACACCAGAATGTTGCCACTTTGGATACCTAAGCATTTAAAGTGACGCAAGTGTTTCTGCGACAGAATGTGACGTAAAATTGTTATTCACTCAGTTAAACTGACACAAGCTAATCAATGGGGGTATTAGGCAAGGACAATTAAAATGCCATTACTCGAAGCAAATGTATTACTATTTCGCTGATTTGATACTAAGAAAGTTCAGTGCCCTGCTGTGGAGGAATGTCACATCTTCAATCAGATATGTACCATATTGGAGAAAAGGGTCCGACTTAAAAATGACCGCCTTTTACGCTCAGTGTCGTGTATTTGATATGCCAAGTGCAAGTGTCTGATATGCCGGACTTTCTCTGCAGAGGTGCTAAGTGTGCTCGTTGCGGGGTACTATTAGAATATTTACCGTGAAAAAACCTGGCGGGCGGCCATGCTTCGATTACATTGAGTGCTGGCCAAAGGAGACTAAATGCAAGTAGTGTATGATCACTGCAACTTTTTCAAATGGTCATCATCATAATTAAATGTTGTACAATACATTGATCATGGAAATAAAAACAAATAGCAAATACAACAGAATAACGAACATTGTGTCACAAATATATTTTATTCAACACAAACTGAGACTGTTTTACTCATCCAGTTTATTACTCACATAGTATTTGAAACCAGCTTCAAAATCACCACCATGTATTGTCATGAAGGCTGTTGTTCTGTGGGTGTACTACCATTCCCTGACACAGTTCCCATACAACTGTTTTTTCCCCAAGGGTCGCGTGAGTGAAATCGGACGCTAAAATGTTCACACATCTCCCCTTTCACTAGATATCTCAAATGTTACGGCAGACCATCTAATATTTGAAACGAATGATGACAGTTGTGCTAACAAATTTATGTCAACCTGGACCTAACACTGGCAGGCACATTTTCAGTTCATGACAGCGACATGCTGCGTAGGTGCGGAATGGCCGTATGCAGTTTTCTTGACAGCAAGGGTATTACATCATATACATTACACCGACCTCTGACACCATTAAGCGACATATCGTAAGTACATACATGTACCATTTAAGGAAATACGACAGTATCATTACACCGAGAATGTCAGGTGCCGGAACA